AGATAAAGTAGAAAACACACATGCTTCCCTATAGTAATTCTTTTAAAATACGTTAAAAACCCCCATTCTCTCTCTATCCTTGAGGTTATGCAGAGTTCAAAGGCTTGAAGAATCAAGATAGATTTTGAAGCTGGTGGGCAGCATGCATGTATTTGAAACTTCAGGGTTTTTTCACTAGCATTTTGTGCTGGTTATACAGAAAAGCAGCTGTCTTTAGAGCAACTAGTTATTCATAGTGGTGTGAGAAATCTAAAAATTCCAAATTCCTTTTTTTGTACTCCTTGCCATTCAGTTCATTGCTTAAAGACTAGGTGGTAGTTCCTTTTCTTCATCTCTGGTTTTAGCACCTACTTTGAGAAGATTGGTATTTTCTGGTTTCCTCTTGCCTCTTGGACAGAGGCAACGGACAACAGAGCTCATTCAGAGGGTACTGGACTGCGAGGGAGAAGTCATGATGCTAGAAACTTCTGGGCAGGAGAATTACTAACAAAATTTCAGCTTTTGCATTTAGTGTTCTTGAAAGCTGTATCCTTGAACAGTGAATGTTGTGGTAAATGTATCTGCCATATCCAGAAGTAAAGAAAATGGAAGTAAATGCTCTGAAGAAGAGGATTGCTATATATCCAGAATTGCTGGTAGTGAGAATCAGAATGACTACCTGACAAATGGAACAACAGTAGTTAGAAATGTCTCATGAATTCCACTAAACTTGTGTTAATAGCACTTGCTACTCTGTTCTGGGGAGGTGATGCTGACTGACCAGCTTAACAAGAAAAGTGTAGATTTCTAAAATGGGAAGAAGAGATTTGTCATGTACATGTATTAAGTAATCAGCAGCAATTAAATAATAAGCATGCTAAAACAAGAACTGCAATTCAAATAACATTTCACAGCTTTGTTTTCAAACTCTTGAATATATTTAGTGTCTTCCTCTTTCCTTCGTGGTATATTTATGCAAGAATATTGGAGCGAGAGATGCAGAAAAATATGTACATGTCTGAGGAGGGGAGGTTAAGAGTCTTGCCAAACTAGAGGGAGTTACACCTCAACTATTTCACGTTGAAGATTAAGGCTGTACGTTTTATTTTATGAAAGACAGTTCTTAGTTTGATTTACAAGCAGTATAGGACCAGTAAGCCCCTTTTTTTAGGAATTACCTTTTCTTGTAGCTCATTTAAATAACAAGCTAAGATATATATGGATAAATATCTAGTCAATTGCTTTAATTAGTTAAAATAATTTCCTATTATAAAGACTTAGTGGACAAGTTTTAATGGGATATTTATTCTATGTTGTTAAATTATATATAAATTTGTAAGCTGTCTTTTCTCTAGGCTTCTGTTTTGCAAACTTCTGCAACATTGCTCACACTGATTTTCTGTTCCATGTGTTTCTTAGAAAGTCGTTTGAGTGGATAATTTCTTACATGATTAAAACACTTGGAGAAACCTGCTAAGTTATTTAGTATAAAATATATGCCTATTTATGGTGGAATATATCACTTTAGCTCTTCAAATAGAACAGGCACTGTAACTGTTAAAAAGAGTTATAAAATCTGGTTTCAGTACAGACACATTATGATTAACTTCTGTGAGGCTGGTAGTATTTGACTGTAGGGATTGTAATCCTGAGCTTGGGGACACCTGACAGGAGTTCAGAAAAACTTGTGCTTAACAGTTCTGCAACTTTTTGGGTGGGAAGAGAGACATGAAAGTCTGTGTGAGGAAGAGATAAGTTTTTTGATGCAAGTTTTCATGCTGGGGGAGCAAGTGCAATTGCCTGTTTCTAAGAGTATGTTTCATTCCATAGTAGAAAACAAAAAACAAGGTTCCTGAATGTTCTCAGGCCAGTGAACCATCGCAGAGCTCTGAAATGGGTGTCAAGACATGCTTAATTTTCTTCTGCTTTTCTTCATGGGAAGTGGTGTCCTGTTTTGCTTGCTGTGTATGGTCTGTTGCAGGTAGATCTGTAATTTCCAAACTGGACAGTGAGTTGCCTATCCAGCAAAGCTACATGCTGTTTATAAAACCCTTGAAAATTTCGTTCTCCTGAGCAGTGCTTTTGCTGAGTAGGTTGCTTTCCCTGTGTCAAATCTAGTGGTCTTGTGCTGTGGTGTTTTATCCAGTTCAGCTGGCTGATCTGGTGAAATCCTCATGCATGGAAAAAGAACAAAAAAAGCTTTTTAATCAAACCTTTTCCTTGATGATTGCCAAGTTCATTGCAGGGGGAGTGGTCAAAGCTTTTGGGGCAAGGATGGAAGGACTGTCCCATTCATCAGCAGCTGGCTAGATGTGCTTAGCTCTGTCGCAACTTGATTCATTGGTTGAACCTTGCTGGAGGAGAGAGGGTGTAAACGTTAGAAAGGGCCTACTAAAAGACATATTTTTTTTAAATCTATGTTAAAATCTTGTTCCTACTGCTGTGATGAAAAATGGACTAGTACATGCTGGTGTGTTGTATCCAGTTTCTGTAGAAGGGGAAGATATCAGCATTTTCTCTTGGTGTGCCAAAGAGGAAAAGTTCCTGGATACACTAAGCCATTCTGTCTACAACAACAGTGGATGAGGAATTGTTACATCTGAAGACTGTTTTGCTGTGTAGTGTCCATTTGTGCATAATCTTGGGGCCCTGGGGACTTCTGATGTGTATCAGAAGTGTGGAACCTTTTCCAGCTTCTCTTTGTTGGAAAGGCTCATTAGCATTCAACTCCTCAGAACTAAGATTAGATCTAGTGACTAATCCCCAAAGCAGGTAGAGGGTGAAAGGAGAAAAAGGAGTCTTCAGAGTGACTGGGGAGGGAGAGTGGGAAAAAGAAGGAAAAAGACCAAAACTAGGAAAAAGTTGTACATGTTGAGCTGTATGGTTCATAGGCCTCCTTTTTGATTTGTGACTTATTCTAGGTATCAGGGAGTTAATGAAAATAGAGAGATTTTAGTGGTTGGTGAAGCTTAAGAAGTATGCATTAAGTGTTTATATCTGGAGCATATGAATTAGATAAATGCTGGCGTTGAATTACAGAAAATAAAATTTCCTGGTAATAGAGATGATCCTAACCAAAGTTTCTCCTCTAAGGAGAGGGCATATCTTTATATGTAGTAGATCTAGCTTAATTATCATTTTTCTGGATTTTTTTTTTAGAGTGATAGGGCTGACGGTGAGGAAAGAAAGTAATAGTACTGCCTGTATTTTCTCCAGTCCATAAACTTATCTAAAACAAGTGTTCATTCATTATATGGGCCAAGATTTTGTGCTGTTGCTCTTGATTGAAACAGAAATTGAGACCCTCTGCTACAGTTAAAGGACTGTATTCTTGCTTATGGTAGCAATAGATAGCACCAGCTTAAATTCCATGTTTATAAGAGTGGAGGCAGTGAGTAAAATCAGTGTTCAGCGTACTAAAGTTTATTAAAGTTTTGGAAGACTTCAGTTTCTTTGAGTTGACCCTGAGATGCTCAGGGAAAAGAGGAATTTGCTTTGCTATTAGCCTGATTCTATCACCATCTTTTCTTAGAGACTTGGAACTGTGCAGCCATGTGTTGGAACTTTGCTGAGTTGTGCTATTAGACCTTGCAGCACAAAAAACCCAAACAAACCCACCATCACAAAAAGACCCAGCCAACCAACCAGGAAAACACACTGCCCAAAACCTTTTGTCTTTCAAACTTGGTTGTTTTTTTATCTAACAGTGATTTGGACAATGGTGATGGTAAACAATAGTTTAGCAAGCATGAACTACAAATTTTGTTTAGAGATACTGTTAGACCAAAACCACCTTTTGAGACAGAAGTATTTAATTTACTATGTGATTGTGGTAATTGAAGCTGAAGTGCATTACTTCAGCATGAGGGGTGGCTTATGGTAAGATAATCAACTCTCAACCTGTAAGAGAAATTCTGTTTTCAGAAACAGTAATAACCAAATTCAGAAGTCTTGAAATTTTGAAATTTTGGCTTTCTAAGTAATTGCAGCAAATTTTGAGTGTATGCACAGGGATTTTAACTGTTTAAGCTAATGAAAAAAAAGTTACTTGCTGATTTATTTTTTTTTAAGTTGTTTGCACGGGAATTTCAAAGCACAAGTTTGTTTCTTTGCCTAGTATTTGAGGGTTTTTTGAAAAGTGATCTTAATGTGTTATCGTGTGTGGATTAACTTCATTTTGGTTTATTTGTGAATGTAAACAAATGGGTTTATTAGATGAAATTAACTCTTCATGGGAAACTAGTACTGGGAGGGAAGTTTGATTGTTCAAACTTTAATAACTACCATTTTACCCTGCTGCATCTCACTGTTGAGAAAGAAGGGAAGGAAAGAAACAATTATGAATTTCCTTTTTTATTTTTTTAAGCTTGTCATGGCTCTGGAAAATTCCCATTTTCTTAGAACAGAATGCTCTCAGTGCATTGTGTCTGTGTGCTGTGGAAAAGGAGATCGTTTGTTGCATCAGCAACTCTTGATTTAATAATACACCTTTCATATTTACAACAGACAAAACAAGGACAATATAGTGAAGGAAGAGTGTTATTTTCCAGAATAAAGCATGAGAAATCATGATAATGCAGCCTGTGTCTAGATTTAAAAAGCAACACATTACTAGTAGCTTTTGTGACCAATCTGGTGATCTTTTCTTTGTTTGCTGCTAAGTTCACTCAGTAACCTTGTGTGCAACAGCAAAGGGAGTTGTATGTCCAAATCTTTATTTTCACTTGATTTGTTGCAAGTGTGGTGTTGATCATTGCTTCCATAGTGAGTGATATCCACCTGAACATATGAAGATTAAAACTTACAAGTCTTTTGGCATTTCTTGCATATTTCATTAGTGTGGTTCATTAATTGGTCACTCAGTGTAGCAGTTCATGGAATCTAAACTCATGTTTGGCCTCAACTGAGTAGCAAATTTTGGGTGTGTTTTTTCAGTTGTTAAATAACTTGTGGAGTATTACAAGCTCTCCATGTGAAAATATATTTGTCTAATGGATTGCTCTTCTCTTCTTCCCCTACAGGTTCGATCTGTGGATGAAATGAATCATGAGTTTCAAGCTCTTACCCTAGAATCTCGGGGAATGGGAGAGGTAATTGTTGAGGGCTGAAAATCGCGTTTGCTTGGAAATGCTGATACAATTAAGAATTCTTAAATAATACAACATGAAGCAAAGAGCTTCTGTTAAAAGACCAAATTGACTTTTGAGGCAACTGAAGATTTCTAAGTTGAAGATAAACTAATTACTTTGCAAAAACACTGGATGGTGGTTGACTGGATGTACTGTCTTACTGTTACATTCTTAATAGACTGATACTCTTGAGAAAGTGAAAATGTTGGAAGTGTGTGCAATTGTGTGAAATGAAGCATGTTTTTCAGTATGTGTCTAAGCTAGTGAAACTTTCAAAGCCAAGGAGGCTGGGATCTGGAAAACGTTTGGCTCCAGAAAAGGCAGAACTGGCATACCCTTGCAGAAATGTGCATTAATTTACCTTTTTTTTTTTTCTTTTTTTCTTTTAAACTGGCATTTACTCCCTTAAAGAAGATTTTTACTAGGATGAAGAGTTCTGTCACATTTAGCTAGAGGGAGGAAGGACTTTTTTGGATTTGTTTGATTTATTTGATTTTTAAGTCAGTGCACTTTTGAGGGGGGAGAATAAAATTAAGATCATAGAAGATGACTTAGCTCCTTCAAAAACATTCCCTGAACTGTTTAGAAAGTAGTCAACATGCATTGGGATTACCTGCCCTGGCAAGATGTGGTAGTGAAATAAATTTACATTGAACGAAATTGCCAAATACTGATCCTTTTGTCTGGGTGATCATCCCCCTGTACTCAGCACTGGTGAGGATGAGGCTCGAATAGTTTCACTGAAAGGATATTGAAGTGCTGGAGCACTTGCAGAGAAGGAGAACAAAGCTGGTGAAGGGTCTGGAGAACAACTCTTAGGAGGAGTGGCTGAGGGAGCTGGGGTTGTTTAGCCTGAGAAGGGAGGCTGAGGGGCGATCTTACCTCTCTCTCTACAACTGCCTGAAAGGAGGTGCTGGTTTAACACTTGGACTCTATTTTAATGGTCTTTTCCAACCCAAACGATTCTATGATTTCCCTAATTCAGTTGATATTTGAATCAGTGAAAATATTTCATCTGAACTTTCTTAAAATGATGATAGGACTGTGATCTCTACAGGAACCATAAGTTAGTGATGAAACAGAAATGCCGTATTCGAGTTGCTAAATGTTTCTGGGCTGACACATGGCTGTATGCTTACTTGATCCTTTTTACTTTAATGAAGCATGTAACCAGAAAGTTTGCAACAATTTTTGCTTCATCCCAAATTCTCTGACTTTCTTGAACCATCTCCTGTTTGAAAAAGCAGTAATAGATGAAGCTCAGTTCTTTAGAAAGCTGAGCAGCCACATTCGATACACTTGATTCATCCTGCCCCCAGCTCTTAAAATTCCTTTTGAAAGCTAAAGGTGTTAGTAAGGTGTCTGTAATAGCACCAACAATGTGAGAGCATGAATGGGTAAAATTCATATTGGTGGTTGTTCTTTTGCCAGGCACAAAGTACTCTGAAAGATGGGAAGCAGTGAAAGTGAACGCTGGCACAAAAGCCTGGGAATTGAGGGTTATAGAGGCATCTAGGACTGTTCATAGAGGTGTTTGGTTTAGGTTATCTTAGATTAAGGGAAATATTTCTTCATTATTTTGACTTTGTTTTGTGGTATTCTGTGGATCTGTGAAGATCTTTAAAAAGATCACAACAACCTTTAAAAGCCTTTAAAAAGGCACAACAACCCCCCTCCCAAAAAAAAAAAAAAAAGTTCTGGTACAGTAATATAGCATCACAAGTTGATACTGTATTGTGACCCTGTACTTATGAAGTTATTAGGTTTTTTATTTCAAGAGTTTCTTCAGGTATCTTGAGGTAATAAAAGTTCACATAGCTATGTTGACTTAACTTAGTAATTTTCTTATTGTCACTGTACAACAATAAAGTAGTTTTGGATTCCATGGCTAGTTTAACCATTTTAATTACAAACTTCCACAATATTAAAGGCAATGTCCTCATAAATACCCTTATAAGCTAGAATTGTTAGTTCTATGAACGTGCTGCCCTCTTTCTACTCAAAAGTTGTGAAGGGGGAGGGTTATGTCAAGTGATCTGCTTCCTAGTGTTTGGGAAAATTTCTTCCTGATTTTCTCTGGATTGATTTTTCTCTGAACTGAACATAATTTCTTGCTCATAGTTTTAATCATTTTGGTATTTTTTTTCCCTGACAGGGAATCAATACTTGACATTAGTAGGCTGTTAAGTCTTACTTTTCACATCATTACTAGAATCGAGACTGTGAATCCTTCAGGAAGTAGCTGTTTCGTGTGCTAATGTAAGGGAATACAGTATGAAATCTGTTTTCAGTGTGCCATAAAACATTTAGGAAGCAATGCATACTGGAAATCATTCTGTTAAGCCATCCCTCTGAGCTCCATTCAGTTAGAGCCTGGTATCCAGCACATCATGAACAGGACAGCAAAACCTGAGCCAGGTGTACAGTTCCCTTGATATCTTTCTATCTTGCAGTATTTTGTTAATTAATACTGTAAAGAAACAGACTAAAGTTTTACTAGCAGATCTGCTGTATTGCCAGTGTCTTTCTCTAAATGTCTCCTAAAATTTTAGTAGCTAGATTAGTTAACACAGATAAAGCTTCTGGATTCAGCTCCCAAGAGCTATCATGACCCTTAAGATTGTGATAATATTCTGAAGAAACACTTGACGTGTGATGCTATTTCTCTTCTCTAGGAATCTGTTGTTTTCTATTTCAGGGCCAGCAGAGTGGGCTTCAGTACCTTTAGTCTGACCTAATGCAGGCCTACATAAAATTAATTGCCAAACAGAATATGAAACAAAATCTTTTGATTCTTACAGAAAGTTAGAGGGTGAAACAGGCAAATTTCATTTTAAGGACAATGTGTCCATTTCTGGTGTTAAAATTTCATTCAGAGAAATTGTAGAAGGCTCTGTGGGAATAACTTCTGATCTTAAAAATAAATAAATAGATGGAATCCTTAATTCAAGAGCCAGTAATTGAGACTGTGCAGTTACTTATCAGAGAGCTGGTTAAGAGGCAGTGTTAGCATAATTGGTTATTATCTATGCATAGAGAAGGGCTTTGTTCATCTGGCAGACACATAACAGGGGTCGGTGCTGATACTGAAAAAGACACTTTTCAGTTGACTGTTGGAAGAGCTTAATAAGAAGTATGGCCATCTTTTCCATTACTTTGAATTAGGATTGGATGTAGCTTACAAAATGTATTTTTTTTTTATTTTATTAAATGTAGGATATATTAAGCAAAATGCATTTTATCAAAGGATAAGGCACAATGATTTTAGCTGCTCTTAGGAATTTCTACTGACTTCTTATTTAAGCGTTTTTCAGCAGAATTAACCAAGTGGGATTTTTCATGTCTGTTTAAGAGGAAAATACTTGTTTTGTTTTTCTGAAAAGTATTTTTTGTTTTTGAATTCCACAAAGAAATAGCTGACAGCTGCTAGGGTGCTGATTGATATAGCAATGCAATAGCTAAAGCATCCTTTTAGAAAGAGCAGTAGTATATGTCATACTGGTCATCTGTCAAAAGTGAGTAAATAATACTTCTAAGTCACTGGCCCTCAGGGACGTGCAAAGTTGTAAACTTCAAAAACAGTTCATTTAAATATTTGAGGGACTTCACTTAAACATCTTTTTGTGTAAATCCATTTGATCTTCAATAGGGCACAATTTACATTTGCCCTCTTGCTGTATAGATGATTAATTATGTTTTGCCTCAAAGATACTTTGTATTCTTTGTGCACCAGAGTACCCAAAGACCACAAGCAATTGAATATGTTTGAAAGCCTGTAGTTAAAAGGCACAAAAAATCCCTAAAACAAAGCAAACCTTAAAAATCTCAACAAACACACAAACAAAATCCTCTCCCCAACAACCTCTACTTTTACAGTGAGAATTATTGCTGCTTTCTGCCAGTGAACATTTTTTTCCTCTGGTAGAAATCCTGTGGATGAGTTTGAAACCCAAACCAGTATTGCAGTGTGTTCTGCTCTAAATCTGCATGTTGTTCTTAACATTGTGTTGTCTGAACACGTATGTGAGAGTGGTATTTCTAACTTCAGGCTAAGCATACTTTCAAGTGATGCTTATTTTATGACACCCAGTATATTATTTGCTCTGTTCTGAGAAGATTGTGTGTTAGGTTTTGACACTTTTAAGTCTTGTATTTCTCATCATTTCAGGCCTGTCAACCATACCACTCAACTTGGAACTTTAAATTTGAGTGCCATAGGTCTGTAACCAGCAGATCCCTGTGTTTAAAGGAGCTGACTTGCTGCCTTGTGTGTTAGACACTTTCTAAAATGTAGAACATGATGCATGTCTGAGTGAACAGGAACTTTTCAATGAACTGCTGCCGTTTCTAGTTATCATGATGGAGTTAGAGGCCAAGCTATTGAGCCAACATGGGAAGAAGATGGTGTTAGTTAAAATTTCTGAGAGGACTGACTTGCTTTAATACAGGGATTAATTTCATTAGTTTTTTCACAGCTGCTTCTGTATTCTGTATCTCTCCCTCATAACTTCAGAATCTCAGTCTTGGGGGTCATTTGAGCAATTTCTTCACACAGTATCAGCTTCTGTAACAGAATGTAACTTTAAAGTTTGTGTAATTATTCTTGGCAATGTGTGCTTTCTTAGATAAAGCTGACTGAGGTATTTACAATTATCCTCTCAATAGTTTTGCTAGGTTTTGCCCACTTATAAGCATATTTTAAATAGAACTGTTTTCTCTTTTGAAACAGCTTTTACCTGCCAAAAAGTTTTGGGAACCTGATGATTCTGCAAAAGATGGACAAAAAGGGATATTCCTTGGTGATGAGTGGAGAGAGACTGCATGGGGAACTCCTCGTAAGTGACTAGTGTAGATATGTTGAAAAGTCAGTCGTGTTTACTGAAAGTTTTTTCAAAGTAAATTAGTATTAAAAACTTTAATGGTGTACTGAATATTATTCTCCTTCAATTCTGAAAACGTATGCTGAACTGGTGGTAGGGTGCCAGTAGCACTTTGTGAAAGTGGGCTTTGGAAACTGATTTAATTTTGGTCTTGTTCAGTGTTGCCTCTCTAATGAAATGTAAAAACATGGCAAGTTGTATTTCTAAAAATATAAAAGTTTGATGTATTTATTTATTTGTTTTCAACAGACCATTCTATGTCCCAACCTATTATGGTACAGAGAAAGCCTGGACAGGGTTTTCATGGAAACAGTGAAGTAAATGCTGTGTTGTCTCCACGATCAGAAAGTGGTGGCCTTGGAGTGAGCATGGTAGAATATGTGTTAAGTTCCTCTCCAGCTGATAAATTGGATTCCCGGTTTAGGAAAGGAGCTTTTGTAAGTAATGCAGTGTGCTAAGCTTGCCTAACCTACTCTGGTCTTACTAGCTTAAATGGTTACATCTTCAACTCCATTTGTCCATTTTCCTTTTTAACTCCTCTCCTTAGAAGGAGGTGTGTAGTTGCTATCTGTCTGTCTTCCTTGGTTGGTTGGAGGGGGCAGAAGAGGGAAGTGGTTTGGGAATTGTGACCACATAGCTGTCTTAAAAAAAAAGGTGGCAAATAACTTAATTTACAATGTGTGGTGGACTTTATTCTAGATATTCCTATTCTGTGTTTCCATACGGTTTTGTTTTGTACTAGATGTTTGAACTGTATGAAATGAACTTCATGTAATTCAAAGTGTTACTGCTTTAACAGCACCGCTATAGTTAAGGTTGAGTTAGTTCTTCCATTATAAATCTTGGCATTCCTTTTCACATTTTGGCAGTTATTAATTGCATGTGGTTGAAACTTGATGACCAAGTTACCCACCAAATGCAATTTCATTGAAAACTGTTTGTATTGTTTACGTGCACTGTAGTGTAGAATTAGGTCACCTTGTGGTGCTCCTATTGTGTTCTGTTCAATATTCAGAATCAAACAGATTCTTTTTCCTCAGGGCACTAGAGATGCTGAAACAGATGGACCTGAGAAAGGAGATCAGAAAGGCAAGGCTTCTCCATTTGAGGAGGACAAAAACAGAGATCTTAAACAAGGAGATGATGAGGATGTTACTAAAATAAATGGCAGAGGTTTGCCAAATGGAATGGATGCCGATTGCAAAGATTTTAAGTAAGCTTTTAACTGTTTCTCAAGAAGACAAGCATGTCTCTTAAGGGCATTATTACAGTTCTGGTTTGTGTGTCAGCTTTAAACATTACCCAGCTGCAGACTTGATTCTTCCTACCTCGCATCCTCCCTTTCCCACTGTGCCACGTGCTTCTTAGGATGTCATTAATGTGTGTGTCACTTCTCATGAGACAAATTCATCTTAATATAGTAATTATTCAAAGTAAATGGTTATCTTCAAAATGTTGTGAATTAAAGAGGGATGAGAACTTTGCCCTTTTAATTTCAAACTAAAATCCTTTCTCTCTCTGCTGCTTTTTAACACTCTTAACTTTTGCATCTGATTGTTGTTGTAGAGAATTAAGTCCTACAGAATTTTAATTTTCCTTCTAATTTTGCTAGTGGGTACCACAGCCTAACAGTTGTTTCCCCACAAAGGACTTCATAAAACCCATTTACTTGACTAAGGAGAAACAATGGACTTCCCTATTCACATAGTTAAATGTCCCCTGTTCACAGTATAGAAAGGTGCTATGGTTTGGTTGATAGGGATAAAAAAAAAAATAAAATTGGACCAAGCTCAAGCTTTTGAACTGTGAAGTTCTATATGACAGCAGAACCAGCCTGTTGTTTTCCTAATACTGAACTGCATTTTAAATTGGGTATTTTTAAAGGTCTAATAATTGGTTTTAAATTAGTGTAATGCATTTTTAACTGTCATATAGAAGAATTAACAAGATCAGAAAACTATGGAGTGCTGCTCATAAATTTGTAATGTTACTAAGATGACCAGATAGTTGTGGTTTCATTACTACATAATTGAACACGTATATTTAAATGCATGTTTGAATCCCATATGTGTTTCCTACTCTTTAAAAAAAAATGTATTTACCTGAGTCTAAGGAGGGAATATTCAAGTCTATTTTTCAAGATGTACTATTGAAAATAATATAATACCAAGCATATTAGAGAGCTCAAATTCGCTCCTTTTGGATGCATGCTGCAATATGCACAATAAGCAGAGTTACCTTCAGTACTGTGTGTAGAAAATGTAGAATCAAATTGTCCTGCTTTTCTTTACCAGTATCTGTTTCAATTTTGAAATAGTTGCTTACAAAGTACCTTTTGTACTATTTAAAGAGGGAAATGATTAAAGTACACTGAAGTGCAAAAAAGCATCCAAAGCCAGTAAACCTCAAAAAAACCCAAACATAATTAAGGCCATCTAATTAAAATGGGCCATATAAAGTGGTGGTATAAAGCCCTACAAACAGAGGTTTATAATTGAAGTATTGACACAACTTTAACTATAGCAACAGAACAGCACCAATATAAGGAGCAACCTGTATTAGAGATTAACTTTGTCCCGTCCTCCTCCTTGTATCTTGATTGTACTTACAGCTTTTATCAACTAAAACATGTGCTGAAATAACTGCCTTTTTTTCCTTTTTCTTCACTTTGTTGATACTGCATGTCACTTGGGAAGAATAAGGGATATTAGATGGCTTCAGGCTCAAGTTTTGTATGTTGAGACATGGTTGCTAGCTAGGATACTTAGATGGTAGCCAGTAAATTACAGATGATCATTGTTAGGCTGGTGGTTATGTTAAAAAAACAACAAACCTTGAGGAAATCATTTTGTCTTTGAAGTGTTTTTCTCCAAAGAATAGATCATACAGTATTGCTGAATAAACTCACTAAAAGACTGCTTTCTGGCTGTACAGTCTTTAGAGTTGGTATCAGCAAATACAGAAGTACCACCAGATTCCTTTGCATGAAACTTGTGCTTCAGTGAAGAAGAGATAGTCCCACTTTGGAGCCCTGGAGAGGGAGGAGAACAGGAAGTAGTAAAGCTGTGTCTGTCTCCTAGAATTAGCAGTGCACTGTGCTGCTCTGGCAGTGTACTGCTGGAATATGTGTAGTTTCATCCTGCAAGATGGCATTTTGTATTTGAGCCTGGTTTTCACAAATAAAGCAAACTCCACTGAAAGTTGTGTGTCTCCTGAGAAACAATGTGGAATTACCAAGTTCTGCCAACACAATAGTGCTGTTAAGAGATCGTAGATTCTGTCACACGACTCCTCCCTGGTAGCTTACTTAGATTTTGCCAGTAAAAATTGGTAGTCTAAACACCACAGTCTGACACAGAAGCTGGGGTACTACTCCAAATTAAAGTACCCTAAATCTAACCAAATACAGGTCTGGGAATCCCTTTAGGATAGGAATCTGTTGACATCTCAATCAGGTGTTTGCCTGTAGGTGTTTATAAATGCACAGAGATTCCCATGTAGTCTGTAGGGGTGTAGTCAGCATAGCCAGTAGAGATGAGAGCAGTTCAGCCTTTACCCTATAGTAAACACCTAGTGACTGGTCAGTTGAGTTGCTCTCTAGGTTCTTTCAGTGGTGTTCACTAGATTTGTATGCCTTCTGATGGTAATTAAAACACTAGAGCACCTAGAGATGTGTCACCACCAGGCCTTTGTATTTGGAAACAAAATTTGCATGGGTTTGGCATAATAAACTATTTCCAGTTCCATATATCTGGCTTATTGTCAACAGAAGTCAAACACCTGTGTTTTATTCCATTCTAAAGATTTTCTTCTGGAACAAAAGGTTATATTTATTCTAAGGAAAAATTAGATGGAATCTATGGGATTATATTAGGAACACTTTTTTTCCCCTGGCCAATAATCTGGTGTAGTGTAACCTGTTAAATGGGTTGTGTAGGAAATGTTTTAATCAAATGTTAAATGAGGCAGTCATCAGTCCATTTCTTTTAAGGTAAAAAAGTGTTGTTTGCTTTTGGGATGTGAAAGATACTTCCTATATTGTATGTTTGTCTTTTCCAGCAAGCTTTATTGTCTCTCTCTCTCTCCTTTGGCATGAGGTGCACTGAACCATCTCCTTTTTGTCTTTTCTTTAAGTTCTATTCAATACGTTTTCTAATAATTGCTGATGCTTCCAAGATGCAATAAAGAGCCATCTCAAAAGTTACAGGTGACCACAGTTCACTCCATTTTGCTCAAAACAGCCTTAAAGATTAGTTTGGTTTTCCCACAGTGATTTGAACAGCTGTATAGTCTTAAACTTTAAAAAATAAATAAAATCAGGCTTTGAAATGCAGTGTGTCCTTTGTATTGAGCCATCAGTGCATGCTGGTTAAAATTGTTAAAATTAGTCTTGTCACTTCCCTTTGTTAAGTCTCTTAGTTCAGAGATCTTTTTAAAATAGAGATGCTGTGTTCTGTCCATGGGCAGCTTTATTTAAGACTGAAGAGTCTTGTCTTGAATTTCTTCTGAACAGTCGTACCCCAGGAAGTCGACAGGCCTCCCCAACAGAAGTGGCTGAACGCTTGGGCCCCAATCCCAGCGCCACAGAAGGATTAGGTCCACTTCCCAATCCTACAGCCCACAAGCCTCTGGTAGAAGAATTTTCAAATCCAGAAAATCAGAATCTAGATGCCATGGAACAAGTTGGTCTTGATTCTCTACAGTTTGACTATCCTGGTAATCAGGTACAAATGGACTCTTCAGGAGCTACTGTAGGACTTTTTGACTACAATTCTCAGCAGCAGGTTAGTATTAGATTTGAAAACATGCTAAATTGATCCTTTAAGTTGTTCATTATCCTCCTTGATAATGTCATTTCGGTGTGTAATTGATTTACTTTTGTTTAGTCTGTGACTTAGTCAAAGGCAAAATATATATTTAATCTAGAATGATATTGGTGCATGATTCGGTATATGGAGCTTGAAGCATTTTTTGTCAGTAAATGCCAGTATATGATAGCCCTGCCTTCTGAAAACTGAAATACATCTTTTTTTTTTTTTTTTTTCTCTTTCAATAGCTTTTCCAGAGGACTAATGCTCTGACTGTTCAGCAGTTAACAGCAGCCCAGCAGCAGCAATACGCACTGGCTGCAGCTCAGCAGCCACACATAGGTGAGGGTTTTGTAAAGTAGAGCAAGCAACTCTGGCAAAAGTGGGTGTGTTGCCTTGGTACAGTCCTTTCAATTTGACTCATGGGGTTATAATTCAAATAAGATACCATTCTGTTGGCCCATTTTAGCAGTTCTCCTGGTAACTGCCCAGAATAACTGCATAAGACTGTCCTTAGGGAAAGTTCTGTGTTCTGTAAATTTTTGCCTACTTTGAACTGTTGCACACAAATAAAAATTTAGTTGTGTAGTACAATACTTGAATTTCAGTGGGAGAGAAAGTAAAAAAGCTTTTCTGCTTCAAGTGCTGATAGAAATACTAGCTTAGTTTAGTAAAATAACAAAAATATGCAATTCTCTTACTCTATTGCAGTTTAGTATTTTTGATAATCTAGTTAAATGTGGTATATTAGGATTTAAAAATCAAACTTTTGCCTTGATTAATTTTTCCTTGTTAATGGCATCTTTTAAACAGCTCTTTATTCTTGCTGATGCCTTTCTTTGTGATGGAATTATTCTTTACTAAGCGTTTGTTTCTGTAATTAATTTTAAAGTAATTGAGTGAATTAATTAATGCTTGAAGTTGCTAGTTGCTGGAAACTCAACAACGAGGCTGTATTTCAGGGTTAACAGTTTTATCTACTCCTGTGGGGAAGCTGTGTTTGGGATGAGAAATGGTTAGAATGCACATGGAAGCAGTTCCTTATTTAAGGAAGGGAGCTCCTCAAATTCTGATGCAGTAGGGAAGGTTTAAGATTCCTGCCCTTTCCCTTTCTGCCACTAGGCTGTTGAGGTGTGTGTCTATATCCTTCCTCTGCAAGAGGGAAAAAAAGGTGTCTGGGTCAGAAGGCAGACAGAAATAGGAAGCAGCATCCCTAAAGGGATATGCCTGTGTTCTCCTGCTGTATAAAGCTTTCCCACTGGCTTGTTTTGCTGGATTGTGAGGCCTGTGCAGGTAGGGATCAGCAGCCTATAGCTGGGGTTTGAAAGTGGCAGGTCTAAGGTGGCTTGTAGCTGACTAATACAGTCTTAGAGCTGGGAGCATGACAGATTGAGATGTTTTGAGTCCACAGGTCATGTCTTCTGCCTGTCTTTGAATTTTAAACTGCAGAGAAGTCCCTACTTTGTATGAAGTTCTCACTGTGCAGTCAGCTGGGTCTTGATCTTTTGAATTGCAGCATTTTTGGTGTGCATGTTAATAGAAACTTAGCCGGAAGCCTCCTGTTTGGAAGGAGAAACATGGTTCGATGTGCAGTGCTTGCTCTGCAGCTCTCCTCAGTGTTAGAGATTGTACCTGAACCTGCCTGATGGGGGAGACTCTGGGGAGTGATGCGTGCTTTGATGACTCTTGAGTTTCTTCAGTTGTCTTGTTGCTTTACAATCCTTATATATTCTTGAGACTAAGATTAGCATCTCATAACTGACTGTTTAAAAGCTAAATATCTTATTTAAACTGTTTGGTAAGATTTGTTTCCTCTCGTCAGTGAAAATGGATTTGTATCTCTAGCAGGTGATTCATTCTCTCTAGCTGATTCACTTAGACACTAGATTGTTTGTCTGATACAGATTTAGTTATAAGATTAGTTAACTTGTGGATAGTTGAAGATGGGCAAGGTAAATCCTACTTTGAATATTCCTTTCTGTATAAGAGTGGGTAGATAAATATGAGGTAAATTGAAGGCCAAGGGGATTAGTAAGAAGGAACTGGAGAGAAGAGATAAAGTGATGATTTCTGTTACGATGTACTTGCTCTTACAGAAACTTCCAAAGTACAAGCAGTTCTGATTCTAACAGATACGCTTTGTGATTTGATTGGTTTGAATATGATGATGCTTGCTAAGTGTGTTAGCTATAATTAAACTCTGTTTATTACTGTAGCAGGCGTATTCTCAGCAGGCTTGGCTCCAGCTGCTTTTGTGCCAAACCCATACATTATCAGTGCTGCTCCTCCAGGTACTGACCCATACACTGCAGCTGGATTAGCTGCAGCAGCTACCCTAGCAGGTAACTGAACACTTTCTAGTGTCTGTCTTGATAATTTTACTGAATGAAATGAGAAAAAAGTGAAATCCATCATGTTTATTCTCTGTAAATGTATTTCCAGGAAGGGACTTACAGGAAAATTAATGTGGTTTCTGAAGTTTTCACTAAAATGTAAAGGGATGAAGTTTCTGTTCTATATGAGTTCTGAGTATTTCTTTCCCCTGGACTTGTATATTCAACAGTTAGGTTTCTTCTGTTCTCAAAAAGTCTGTAATTAGTAAGGTTTCATCTGACATCAGTAGCATCTATTATTTTCAAAGGATAAGACAGCTAGCCTTTCCTTGTGTGTTTTTACTCAGTGCATTAATTTTCTGATTCCAGATTTTGTCATTCCCAGTGGGCATGAGAGTAAAGATGGTCTCCATCTAGACAGTAGATAAGCCCCAAGCCCAGGAAAATCTCATGAAAAATTAATAGATATCACTCAGAAACAGCACTGCTGGGTATTCAAGACCCACCTAGTGCTCAAACCTGAGTATAACTCTTTGAAAGAACTCTATCTCCAGTTGGTGGTTTCAAAGGAAAGGCAGTAGAAAGAACTACAGTATGTGTATACATAATGCATTTTGTGTAAAATACAGTGATAGCTTTTATTTTAGGGGTTGATTATCAATAAACTGGTAGAGGTAAGTGTGCCTGCTCTGAAAAGGTGACTCAGTAGGCAAGGAGGCAGAGGCAGTAGTTGTGTTTGTAAGCAAAGGAAGCATGGAGAAAGGAGGAGTAATAGATGATCAGAGTCTCAGTACATTCGTGTCAATGAATTTGGTTCATTCTGTGATGGTCTGAAATAATCTCTTTTCCAACCCTGAACTGATTTTGAGTTGTCTTTGGAGTACAAACTTTAATTATTTTAAGTTTTTTCTTTGCTACCTGAATCTCACAAAGGTATTTGTGTTTTCATAGAGAAGGTATGATTTGCTGTAGGTCCTTTGAATTAACTCATTTGTGTTCATGTACCATGGGAATTTTCTTTTTGATACTGATATCTGTTCTGACATTTAGAACTTAGTTCAATGAGGGATGCTGCAAAAAAAACATTAACAGTTCTTTTAACTAGCTGCAATAGATGGAATAGAAGTGTTTTCTGCTTTTAGGTCCTGCTGTGGTTCCGCCTCAGTATTATGGTGTTCCATGGGGGGTGTATCCAGCCAATTTATTTCAGCAGCAAGCTGCAGCAGCAAACACCACAGCAAACCAGCAAGCAGCTTCACAGGCACAACAGGGACAGCAACCGGTACGTTCTTCATTAAAAGGAGACATTTATTTAAAGCCTTGCCTTCATTTTCACTGTATAAAGATCAGCTTCTAGAAAATTGTCGTTCAGATGTTGGGTTGTATCGAGTAAGAAGGGAATAGTTAAAATTCTCAATTTCCTTATATTGCTGATTATCACTGTCTTAAAAAATTCTTTCCCTGCCTACTGAGTATTCTGCTTATTTTGCAGTCCCAATTTTTAAATTTAAAGAAATAGTTTAAAGTAGTTCCTTTATTCCAGGTTACTGTGCTATTATGCTTATGTCTAGGGAATGCTGACTGTACAGTTATTAATCTAGAAAGCTAAGATAAAAGAATGAAACAGATATTTTAGTTATTTGAGGAAATATTTTTTTCTTTTAAGCTTGGAAAAAAATTGATCTCTGGTTTAATCAATTAAGTGGAAAATTGATTGCTGCACAGTTTTCTTTGTCTTTTTTAAAAAGTAGGGA